CATTTTATATAATAGGTGTTGAATTACTGGATAGATTTGCTAATTAAATACTCTTTGTTCTGCTGCAGTTGACATTACAGGGTAAGATCTTGAACAATTATTCTCAACAGCTGTACTTTGTTAAGGGAAAAATTAACCACAAAGTTTATTTTTTTACACTTGGAGTTGGCAGATTTTTGAAATGTGCTTGAAAAAATTCCATCATCCAATTGGTAATGAGTAGATAAATATGCAGGTGTTGCTGTGAAATCAGATAACTGCAGACTGCCTTATTAATGAATTTAGCAAGCCTTTATAGCCCTGTTTTCTAGCCGTTGGCACTTATAAAATGATTTTCTGTCAGAATGGATAGCTTTAATATTAGGCTTGTCACTGCGAAGTGAACTTATGAATGGTCATCTTGTAATCACTGTATCTTGTGTCCAGTAGACCTTTCTGGGTAACTCTGGCTATTTTAAAAAATGCATTTCCTCAATGAGGAAAATATCTATAATGTTTAAGTTTTTGATTGTTGGTTTCTAGAACAGTCATGTGGTATGTTTTTTTTTTTTAAATAAGGCAGTGGGATGTAATGAAAAGACAATCAAACATAAGGTCCACCTTCTAGATCAAGCTCTTGACTAACTGTTACTTTGGGAAAAATCTCAGAACCTAATTTTTCTCATCTGTAAAAGGGGACTTATAATACTGCATACGCTTTAGGATTAGTCATTTAGCATTCTATAAATATTTATTAATAGCTCCCGTGTACCAGGCCATTTGCTAGATATTAAGAATTTGGTAGCTTACTGAGTGTCCAACAGCTGAGCCTTCCCCAGTGATTAGTTTGATTGAGGGCTGGGCCTGAGGGTGCCTTTGGAGTGATCTTGCTCATTAGCACTTGGATAAGTATTAGACTGGAGAGGGCACTAGGGTACCCACCATCTAGAACTGCTTAGTGAAGAAGCATGAAAAATTAGGGGTCAGCCTGGTTGTGGGTTATCTCATATAGAATAAAGAGTTGAGAAGTTGTGGTGAGGACCTTGAACCTGAGACAAAGCATTATCATCAGCTACTGATGAGGTCCACTGGAAAAATGGTGATTAAAACTATCCACAGAAATAGTTACAGTCCCTATGGAGACCTGTTGAGTTATATTTATAAAAAATTTTAGACTAGGTATGGTGGCTCACGCCTGTAATCCTAGCACTTTGGGAGGCTGAGGCTGGAGGATTGTTTGAGGCCAGGAGTTTGAGACCAGCCTGAGCAACATAGCAAGATCCTGTTTCTATGAAAAGTGGAAAAATTAGCGACCTGTAGCCCCAGCTACTTAGAAGGCTGAGGTAGAAGGATCTCTTGAACTCAGGAATTTGAGGGTACAGTGACTTCTGATGACACCATTCACTGCATTCTAGCCTGGGCAACAGAGCAAGACCCTGTCTCAAAAAAAAATTTTTTTAAACCTTTAAAACTTTTGGCCCAGTAAGTTTACTTGTAGGGATTTATTTTGTTACTGGCAGATTTGAAAATTATGTATGTACAAAGATTATTTGTTGAAGTATGATTATAATGGCAAAGAGTAGAAACAACCTGTATGTTCATTAATAGTGCACAAGTTAAATAAATTATGATCTATTCATACAATGGAGTACTATGTAGTCATTAAAAAGAATAAGGCAACTATTATGTGTGGATTTGGAATAGTCTCTAAAATAAAGTGTTAAATCAAAAAAGAGTTGCAGCATAGTCTATAGTTTGTCATTTCTGCAAAAGTGGCATCCCCCAAAAGGTTTCTGCTACCAAAGAGAAAATCGTTTTGGTAACAGCCCTCAGATTGTGCATGGAAATGGTTGTGAGTTGGTGGCAGGATAGAGTGGAGGTGAATGATGGTTCTGAAAGGTAAAGGTTGCCATTTCACATTGAAGGTGCATTCAGGGATGACATAGTAGGTTTGCTTCACTCTGAAAGAAGAGTAGAAGAGATTGGTTACTGAATATGCAGAGTTGTAGTAAAAGGTTGGCAAATTGTTCCTGAGGTATTTTATTTAGTGTAGGTAACAGTTACCTTATGGAGTTCTCCATTGTGATGAGGAAAGCAAAGCCTAGGAAGGTGGAAGAGGCAGAGAGTAAAGAGAACTCTTGATAAGTAGTTCTGTCCTCACTATAATTGATTTGACTTGGGTTGATCTCATTATTGCCCTTTTCCCAAAGGAATTGTCAGGTATTCTCCCATAATGCATTTCCCTGTAATTTAAATGTTAAAAAATGAAGATGAAGGGGAGGAGAGTGAATGTTTTTCTTTTTAAGTTAACTGAATTTTAGAGTCTAGTGGAAAAGTAATTGGGATTACTATGGGACCTATCAGTCAACTGGCAAACAGTTTGTTGACTGCCTGTTGTATGTGAAGTCTTTAGTTAGGCACAAACATGTGCTCTGGCTTCCAGGAACTCATGGACTAGTTGAGGAGGTGGGAGGAATAAACTGTCAACTAATAACATAAAGCATCATTCAAGTACTAGTAGAATAGTGCAAGCAGAGATCAGAGGAGAGAGAGATCACTATGGGCTGGGCCAGTCAGCTGAGGCTTTATAGAAGAAGGATTTAAGCTGAGGTTTGTAAAATTCAATTACTGGAAGAGGACTGGGAAAGAAATTCCAGGTAGAGGACACACTGCATGATTGAAAGCATGGAAATAGAAGTCTGTACACAGTTAACTGTCAGAGGACTGGGAAATTTATCCTGCCTGGCAGGAGGGTTTGTGTAAGGGAATAATAGGCTGTACAGGTGGAGCAGTGGCTTAGGTACAATTGCAGAATTTGGTCTTTATCTTGTGGGCATTGGGAAAGCATTGAAAACATTTAAGAGATTGGTAATGAAACATTCAGGGTAAGTTGATGAGATCCGAAGCCAGTCAGAATTTGGCAGTAGAGGTGCAAATTGGTTAACCTTCAGTGATAACCCCACCACCATGGAGTCAGGTGCTTTCCACCTGTGGCCTGTCCTGCTCAACATATTAGCTTACACCCTAGGCATGGCCCTTCACGATCACAGTGATGGTTGCTGCTGCTTCAAGCAGCCCTTCATCTATAAAGGCAATTTTTCTTTCCACTTCTACTCAGTAAGGAAAACCTTTCACAGAAGCTTCCTATAGGAATTCTCCTTACCTTTAATTGGCCAGGATTGTGCGTTGTCACAGCACATGTCTAAACTGATCACTGTTTCCAGAATGGAATTACCATGATTATCCTAGGCCAGTGGTCCTTAACCTAGCTTACAATGTAAGAATCATCTTGGGAGCATTCAAAAAAAAAAAAAAAATCTACTGGGACCATATTTTTAAAAAAATATCTCTAAGTGATTCGATTCCACCACTGGCTTAGCCTAATCAGAATTTCCCACCTCCCACCACCCCCAGTGGGGGAAAGGCTTCCTTCTCTAAGAATGTAGGACAATGAACATCTGAACAAAATGGGGAGATAGTAATAAAGGGAAGGGGGCAATAAAAATGGAAAGTAATGAGTAGATATAAAAGATACTCTAAAGACAGGATTTACAGAGCTCTGTAATATAGAGGACAACAAAGAAATGACACCATGAGGTTTGAGCTTAGCTGACAAGGAGACCTACTGAAGTAGGAGAAAGAAATGTAAATGATGTGAATCTTTATCTGGCCCATTAGAAATATGACTTCTGGTTTAGACTGATGCTTTGAAAGATGGGTGATAGCAGAAAAGCAATAGCATGGAGTGACTAAGACCCCATGCTCTGGAGTCAGAGTGCCTGGATTCATAATCCTTTTCCTGTCATGACTAGGACACATTAATTACTTTGTCTTTCGGCATCTAACAAATGAAGATATTAATAATAGTTACCTCTTGGGGATCTTGAGGAATGAAATGAGAAAATGCTCGAGGTGCTTCCTGCATAGTATCTGGTACATATTTTAAATTCTCATTCTCATTCATTCTCTCTCTCTCTCTCTCTCTCTCTCTCTCTCTCCTCTCCCTCTTCTCATCAATCTCTCTCCCCTCTCTCCCTCTCTCCCCTCTCCTCCCTCCTCCCTTCCCTCTCCCTCCCCCTCCTCCCTCCTCTCTCCCCCTCTTTCCCTCTCTCTCCCTCCCTCCTTCTCTTCCCCTCTCCCTCCCTCCCTTCCTCCCTCCCTCCCTTTCTCTCTCTCCCTCCCTCCCTCCATCCATCTCCCCCTCTCTGTCTCTCCTCTCTCTCTGTCTCTCTCTCAGTCCTCATTACATCATATTACTGCCTTTTACGAGGGCTTCATTTGTTAAATATGTGTTACTTCTGAACTGGCCCAAGATAATTTATATCAGTTTTTATTTGTGTCCACATTATAACCTCTATATCTTTAGTCTGTGGCTACATGGGCCTGGGGACAGACCCATCTACAGATAGCATTCATAAGTTTGTCTTCATTCACTGAATGTTTATTGAGCTCCACCTTTTTAACTAGGTGCTCTGTTAGTTCCAGGCAATATAGTGAAGCTCTGCTCTCTGCCTTCAATGAATTTAGTCTAGAGAAGAATTTTAAATCTAGTGCACATGTTTTTTTTTTACTTTTTAAGATCCTGAATACCATGAGTAAGAATTGCCAGATTTGAAGTGCTTTGTTAAGCTTTTTTTTAGCTATGCAGTTCTATTTAAATCTTAGTAATGAGAATAGTTTGCCTTTTTGTTATATTATAAAGGGATATTTTACTGTGTGTTTATTAAAGATATATGGGTATATTAAAGATATATATCTTTATATGAGATATATCTTTAATAATATAAGATGTATCTAAAACATATATAATTGCTTGCATATCTCTGGGTAAGAATCAGCATAGAGTCAAACTTACCTTTGGATTATGTTGATGTTATTTTGAGAGTTGTCATTAGAAAACCTTCAAGAGCTTTAAAAATATACGTAAATGGCAAATCATTGAGAATTACTTATCTCTATGTGCTTATATTTATGTCTTTGTAATTGTGTAATGTATTAATCTTGACTTTTGTTTCATTTAGATTTTGATGCATACGAAAGAGATGGTACAGAAGGTAATGCTGAGCATTTTTATTGTATAACAACTCTTAAATATCATAACTGGTGACGTTTTTGTATTCAAGGAAAATTATAACCCAAACAAACTGGAAATTGCTTCTTAGGATGCCTAGTTTACATTTATAATCCCTCCTAATGGATTACAGTTTTTTTCTTTTACCAACACTGATATGATCTAGCCCCTGCTTGAAGCCTATATGTGAGTGTTTCAAGCAAATTAGTAACAGTGCTAATTAGAGTTTATTTCCAGGCCTTTATACTGTATGTGCTCTAGTGTTGTTTGTTATGATTGATTTTTTTTGGCACTCTTCATATTCTAAATACTGTTTGCAACTGTCAAGAATTTAATATGGATTAGTGCCCCTGAATTTATAAAATCCATTATGTTTCTGCTTCTTAAATTGCCATGACCACAAGCATGTGATATAGTGGGTAAATATAGACCCATTTCCTACTCTTTTATTCTGTCTTTTCTCATTATTCAATTCCATATTTTGTTTCGGTTTAAACTAGATACAATTCCCCTTCCACTCCACTCTCCATTTTAAGAAAATTTGGGAGATTTTCTTAATGTCGTGATACCCAACTTTCTGGTTTATAGGAGCTGAATCTTCAATTATATGCCCTGACAATATGGATAACATAAACTTTTGAAAAGTCAGTGGAACCCATAATTTCTGTAGTGTAGAAAATCTTTAATTTCATTGTATAGAATGGTCACTGTGTTTTTGTTAATTTTTATAATTTTTGTTTTTTACTAGATGAATCTTGAAGTTATTTATGGAGATACAGATTCAATTATGATAAACACCAATAGCACCAATCTGGAAGAAGTATTTAAGTTGGGAAACAAGGTAAGATAATTTTATGGAATTATCTTTTTTACCTGTTTTTGTAAATTCTATTTTTAACATGGAACACCATACATTTATGTATATGTACATATGTGTGCTTCTGAAAATAACGAATTTGGTGCCTCTCAGTTCTTCATTCTCTTTATATTTTTCTGACTTCTATTCCAGTTGTTTGTTTTGAGGGTGAAATTCAAAGGTATTAGGTTATGAAGTATGAAATGTCTGATTTCCTTAAGTACTAAGTTTGGCAGTTCGTAATCTCTGACATTTCACTTTGACACTTCTTGTTTTATTTTTGTGAAGGTACATCCTCAGTTTTTCAAATGCATGTTTTGGCTTGTGATCATCTTTCAAATTTTTTTTTAGAGCAATTTTTGTGAAACCAGGGATAAGTCAAAAATGTGTGTTATTTTTAAATATGAGTTCCGTTGTGGAACCAATGCAGCACAGATAGCTCGAAATATTGATGAAGTGTTTGAGAAGGATGTGGCTAATGAATGCACAGTATGTCGATGGTTTGAGAAGTTCTGTTCTGGTGAATTTAATCTTGAAAATGAGCTACATGGGCGACCTGAATACAAGGTGGATAATGATGAGCTGAATGAACGCTATAGTGAAAGTGAATCCATCTCAACCTACACCTGAATTAGCAGCAAGGTTTGATGTTACTATCCAACAACACTGGACCTTTTAAAATAAATCAGCAAGGTAAAGAAGCTGAATAGATTGGTTCTATGTGAATTAAATGAACTTCAGCAGTGATACTGTCTCAAAGCTTGCCTTTCTTTGCTGTCATGACATAGAGGCGAACCATTTCTACACTATATTGTTACGTGTGATGAAAAATGGATTCTTTTTGACAATCACAAGTGTTGGGCACAATGGTTGGATAAAGATGAAGCGCTGAAACACAGTTTAAAACTGAATATTCATAAAAAAAAAAAGCTAATGGTGTCTGTTTGGTGGTCCAGTGCTGGTATTATCCACTATAGCTTCATGAAAACTGGTCAGTTGATTACAGCGGATGTCTACTGCATCCACTTGGATGAAATGATGAGGATGCTTGCTATTAAGCAGCCAAGATTAGTCAGTAGAGACAGGCTAGTTCTCTTGCAAGACAACGTTCAACCACATGTTGCACAAACAATGCCACTCAAACTACAGCAGCTGGACTTGGAAACTCTCTGTCATCCACTGTATTCATCAGACCTTGTAACAACTGGCTACCACTTCTTCCAAGCTTTGGACCACTTCTTGCAAGGAAAAATATTCAGTTCTCAACAAGCTGTGGAAAATGCCTTTTACAATTTCATTGCCACTCGCTCCCCAGGCTTCTTTGCTGCTGGCATAAACAAGCTACTGTTAAGATGGCAAAACTGTGTCGATAGTTTAGGCACATACTTTGATTAATTGTACTGCTTCTTGTTTGAGATATAATAAACTACACTTTTGATTTGAAATCACGTTTTATGCTTAATGACCTAATAATTATATTTTCCTTAAATGATAGATTTTTCTTTTGAAAATAATATAAGTGTTGTAAGTATAAGATGTGGTCACATTAGTACTTACCACATTATCTTTTCATAAGGAAATATATGTCTAGTAGCATTCAGATGCATTTAATACATGGATAAATACCTATCTGCATACACACCATCTCTAATTTTTATAGGAGTGCTGAAAATATATTTGAAAGAGCAAGGGGACATTTTTAAAATAATAATTTGTAGCCTCTTAATAGCATTCACAGTTAGCAACTGTTTCTTGAGCACTTGCTGTGTTAAGATTCTGTCTAAATGAACTAAAACTAAGATATCATCTTTCAAACATAACAACTTCCTGTCTTCTCTCCTGGAATGTGTGGAATTTGAATTGTGGTCTGCACTTGAGAGCAAGCCTGGCATATTGTACTCATCCTGAGCCATGAAAAGCTATAATTTTCCCTAGGGGTGATGGTCTGTGCCTTGACCCTGTTAGTAACGAGCAGGGGACTGTTGATGTATTTCGTTAGTATGTAGTTATTTCCTTATATTCAAGGTGTTAAGGGAGATCTTAGACATTATTTTAACAGTCCAAGTTTTATTTATTTATGGCCACATATCTACTTGTTGGATTATCTAATCACTAATTCAATAGTTTGAAGGCAAGTATTGTACATGTGTATTAAATCTTTAGATTCAAAGCAGACTATTTCATAACTTTCATGTATTTCCAGGGGCTGATCCAGCCAATCCTGTCCTTTGGCTGAGTGGGAAATATATTATTGTCTGTTTTTTAATCCGTTTTTGTCCTTGTGTTTTTCAGTATCTTTGCATTGTGCCCAGCATAGTATCATGTTACATATAAACTGAGTAAATGCATTCTAATCTTGTATGACATGAAGTTCTGTTTAGATTAGCCTGGGAATTTGTAACATGTTTATCTTCTCCCCATTAGGTGTTTCAGAGGTTAGTATTAATGTTTGAAATTTTCACAGGTAAAAAGTGAAGTGAATAAGTTGTACAAACTGCTTGAGATAGACATTGATGGTATTTTCAAGTCTCTGCTACTGCTGAAGAAAAAGAAATATGCTGCTCTGGTTGTTGAGCCAACTTCGGATGGGAATTATTTCACCAAACAGGAGCTGAAAGGATTAGATATAGTTAGAAGAGATTGGTGCGATCTTGCTAAAGACACTGGAAAGTGAGTTCAGCTTTCAGTTTTGCTTTTGTTGTTTGTCTTTAAAAAATTCAAGTGCGAATGATGTGGAAAATGCCTATGAGTCTACCAAGCACAACAACGTAACTTCTTTTTTGTTATTTTTATCATCATTATTGCATATTGAGAGTTCTTCTTTAGAGTGGAATTTTACAAGTAGATTAAAACTTAGAAAAAGATAAATTTGGGGAATAAGAAATGCTTGCTATAAGATACTTCTCATGAGTTTTAACTTGTGGTGAGGGTAAACCTTCATACTTCGGATCCTTATGGAGTTGATTTCATTGACATTGGTTTATTTTGCTTTAATGTTCCTATTAGGAAGTGCCTTGTTTTGTGCTCTTGAATCTTTGTAGAGCCCTTGAGAAACATAATTGCTAAGATATTTTTTGTTTTGTAGCTGGGATTCAAATGTTCTGTTCTGGGATTCAAAGCGGGCCATGGAGTGAGACTTAGTTCCCACACATATCATTCGTGTGTAAAAGATTCTTACTATTCTCAGGTTTTTTAACAGTTCTTAAATATTGTGTGTACCTCAGAAATATAAATGTTATGACTGACCCCCTAGCTTTGCACCTGAGACTAAAGATTATGATAATAAGTCCTATTTTTTTAAATAAGAGTCATATTAATGTATTAATATTAAAAACCCATTAAAAATGAATCTTTAGGTACTTTGTGTACCATTCTCCATATATTCCTCTTTTGTGAACTTCACTAATTCTGAAAATACAAGAATTTTTTCCTTTAAAGCTAAATTTAAACTTAATTTTAATATTGCTGAATATTAGCATTTTTTTTTTACTTATTTTCCAGTCTTCTCCTGCTTTCAAATTGGGAGAGTGAGCAATTGTTGCTTCTGCAAAACTACTCTTGATTAGGCAAAGTTGATCATCTGAGTATAGGTCACTGTTAGCCTTTTATGAAATGTAGTTTGAAATGCTTCATTGCCCCTAAATGTACCCAAAGATGAAACTACTTTGTATAGACCGTCGATTAGAGTGTTCTCTTCAGCTTTGTGTTTTCTAAGAAAAGATGCATCATAATAGAAGTAAATTTCTCTGAGTTAGAAATGTATTAGTAATTAAAGCTATACAAATGTTTTTGTCAGGGTTCTTTTTCTGACAAATTATAATGCAGCTGTCAAACCCTCGCTCTGCATTTTCTCAGAAATGGATAAAATATTGGCTTCCTTACTCCTTTTTCCTTTGGGTCTGGTTGAATAACATGAAGTGTTTAAGGAATAGCGTAAGGTTGGAGAACACTGAGCAATATAATGAAGCCAAAGAAAGAAAAATTTGAAATCTTTGTTTTTTTTTAAAAAAAAATATCTAAAAGCTTTATATTTCTATTCACCTAGCTAATGGGTACCTAAGGTGGAGATGATATCTTGATGATATCAGAGATAATATGTTGGTGCTTTATGAGGAAGGTAAAACTTGTCTTCTAAAACTTATGGGTAGAATATAATTGCTTGTAAATTTTATAATTGCATAAAAATACAATGGAATGCATACTTTTCTCCGTCGCATTTTGTGTAAAGTATTAGCCGCTACATAAAAGAATGATCTGTATGTTTAAAGGCAACTTAACATTCTAAGGTTGATAAACCTTTGGTATAGTTAGTGTTAAAAAACAAATAGTAACTGCCTTTTGGGCATTAACCGTTATATTAGCTCTTGTCCATATGTAAATCTAATGGCATTTATGTTCCTTTTCTCTATTTAATAAAATATGATATTAAAAAAATCAATCTCTTTTTTTCAGCTTTGTCATTGGCCAGATTCTTTCTGATCAAAGCCGGGACACTATAATAGAAAATATTCAGAAGAGATTAATGGAAATTGGAGAAAATGTACTAAATGGCAGTGTCCCAGTGAGCCAGTTTGAAATTAACAAGGTAAATGTAGCATTTATTGCTGAGCCCAGCTGCTGTCATGTGTTTTTCTCCTCCTTCAGATAGTTGAAGGACCACCTCATCCTTGCAATTGAAATAAATTCTAGCTGGTGATGAAAGCTGCTTAACAACTATCTCACAGATTGAACATTAGCATACTTCTTCCAGTCAGGGGTACTGCCACGTCTGCCACAAAGACCTTGTCTCTCAGTCCTTACTTTTAATTCTTGGAAGTCATGTTTCCAGAAGTCCTATGGAGTGATATAGTTTATGTATTGGGGACCAGAGAGTACTACCTTCTTCATAGTTCTCCTAAGTGATAGTTGTTTGGGTCATAGGCCTGTAAGCTTAGTGTGTGCTTGTGTGTATGTGCGCACACGTGTGTGTGTCTGTCTAACTTCACAGACGATGATCCTTAGCAGTAGGCTAAGGATCAGAAGGCTGGAGATGAAATTATTTAGAATTAAGATGGTGGTAACACTTTCTGTACATGCAAAGCACTTTTGCTTTTGGGAAAGAAAAAACATAAATTACACTTTATGGATAATCTTAGTTGTTGAAACTAGAGAATATTTTTTCATCTTACCTAATTTGAAAAACAAAATTTTGGTTTCCAAAGTTCTGTAAGCAAGATGTTAGGTTACAGATTTCTTTTTTTTCCATTTAAAAAGAATATCCTTAAATATTCAGAAGCTAATTTTGCAAATAACACTTTACCCAGTTGTGAGAGATTTTGTTGTCAAAGCTCATATAAAAAAAATTTAATGAAAAATAATCTAATGATGACATTAAATGAAGTTAGAATGAAAACTCATTCATAATACCCGTATGCTAAAGTAATGCTTGTCATTTTTGCACATTTCCTTACTCTTGAAAACATTTTCATATTGCAGCAATTATATTATTTAGAAATATATTTTCATTTAGCATAAACATTTTCTCACATTTCTGTATTACCTTAAAAATCATCAAGTTAATCAATGTATTAATCTTCTAATTTACTGATACATCTTTATTTAAAATTTTTGTTGATTATTATTTGTTTTCTATTGTAAATAATTGTGTTGAACATCTGTTCATTTATCTTTTTGCTTTTGGATAAATTATTTTCTTATTTTAGGTTCCTTGAAGCAAAACATTTGAGTCAAAAAATATGAATATCTATATGGCTCTTGCCAAATTGCTTTGTAAAAGGGTAATACCAATTGATAACAAAACATGTGTACCAGTTTCACCACTGCTTTGCTCGAGGTGTGATATTTAAATAAAATTTTGCTACCATGATGGATATGAAACCATATTTCATAGTTAGATTTAATTTGTATTTCTTTGATTCCTAGAAAGATGAATATTTTCTATGCATATCTTTACGATTTGTATTCATTCTTAGGTAAGTTGTTTCCTGTACCTTGACTATGATGTCTTTTACTTTTTTAATTTAATTTTTAAAATATTTATTTTTGAGATAGAGTCTTGCCCTGTTGCCTGGCTACAGTGTAGTGGTATCGTCATAGCTCACTGCTGCCTCCAACTCCTGGGCTCAAGTGATCCTTTTGCCTCGTTTGAGTAGCTGGGACTATAGGCATGTGCCACCATGCCCAGCAAATTTTTTCAATTTTTAATAGAGACAGTGTCTTACACTTGCTCAGGGCAGTCTTGAACTCCTGAGCTCAAGCGATCCTCCCACCTCAGCCTCCCAGGGTACTAGGCTTGATGTCTTTTAATGTCACAAAAGAAGACATTGATTTATACATTACAAGGGGACACGTGCCTTGTCACTAGCTCTTTACTTTAAGTGATGCAGTGTATACATATCAGCATAGAATCACTTTTGCCATCTAGAAAATATTAAATAGTTTCCTTTTAGATTGTGTTTTCTTTCTCAAAATTTTGCAAAAGAGTTATGACTTCAGTCTTCTTTTGGTCAGTTTTTGTATCAATTCTGCATATTATATCATTGATCCTGTCCACCTTCCTAGAAACATAGTTCTCTATCGCAAGGGGTTCAAGGGATGAGTTTAGAAGGCTCAGTCTGATCATGACTACATTATTGGGAAAATAACACCAAGCATACTTCCTCTAGGATAGTGGGCCCACATCGTCATCCTCTCATATTAATGATAACACAATATTACTAGTGTGCAAGAAGAAACCTAGTTATAGACATCTTGGAAATCTCTGTGTTCTGATGAATAGTCTACATTTTTATTATTTTTAAGTTTTTATTATTGAAATTTATAAACTTATACAAAAGTAGAGAGCATAGTATCATGAATCTCTGTGTATCCATCACTCAGTTTCAGTTATTATCAACTTACAGTGATATTTTATTATTACTAATAGTACTAGTTAATATTTAAGGTCTAGTGTTATAGAGGCTGTGTATACATTTTTCTGTGACAGAACTGAAACTGTGACTTTATGTCTTTATATACTCCATATCACTTAGCATCATTATTGGCAAATAATAGTTGTTCAGTGAGCATTGAAAAAATTCATTTGCTTGTTTAATTATTCATTCAGCAAATAGAGTACCACTTATATACATAGTGCTAGATTCTGAGATATAAAGTTGAATAAGGAAAGTATGGTTCATATTTTCAAGATGTTAATGGTCCATTGAAGGTATTTACTGTCTGGTATTCTTACATTTTTTATAAAGAAATTTCTGCAATGATATAAATACAGTAAATTCTGATGAAAGAACTATCTAAATCATAGTTCTGTATGTATTTATAGTAATGTATTCATATGTTAAATGTGATGTGTTCTTATAATCTTTAACATTTGTCTGAATACTTGGACTATTCAAAACTTGTGAGGAAATCAGTTATTACATTTTGCTTTCATAGGAGAGTGGAATGGAAGAGTCTATGTATGTGACTGGTTGTGGATAGTCTTATGACAGGATGGGTATTGTTGCTTTTTGTTTGTTTGTTTTTTGTTTTTTAGGTGATACTGGTAGAACTTGAAAATGCCAGGTTAGAGTAGGGTGGAGGCATGCGTGAAGTGGTGGGATTTACCTTTATAGAGATTTTAGCCCTTGTTGCCAAAAGCAACTGAAAAACAGCATGTGTGATTTTGCTGAACTACAGCAATCTTAGCTTAAATATATTTCGTAAAGTAACACAAAATACTTCACAGCTGATTTTTATAGCCCTGGCTAACTTGAGCCTAAACCACCAGGAAGCATTTTTTTTTTTTTTTAAATGAAGCCTTCTAAAACTAGCTTGTAAAATCCCCAAATAGCCTCAATCTAATAATTGGAAAGTATGTCAGCTGAAATTCAGAATTTCTTAACATTGCACTGAAGAAACTGAAGAATAGTCAATTGAAGAAGATAATGGTTTTCTTAAGTAGAGTTATATTGATTAAGATTTCTGTACAGTATTGGCTGTCCAAGTCAATGAAGACTTCACATAATTCAGGTTTGAGGAGATTCAAATACTTGGAGAGTTTCCTAGGATTTTTCTTACACTGAGTATAGGAAAAGAACATTTCTTTTCATGAAAAATAACTATATATTCCAAAACAAAGAAAAATTAGCCAGAGAAGTGGCATCATTTTATAATTTTGCAAATCTCTTTAATGTCTAGCTTAGTAGAACACATCTGGATTTTCATATTTGCTTCTGCATCCAATCTGTTGTGATAATGTGGTTTTGGGTTGAGGTATAGGAAGAAAATCCAGTTTCACACAAACATGTAATTGGAAAAAGGAGAAGTAAATATTTTAGTAGTTTTTTTGATAGTTGTATGTATTCTTTGATTCTATACCCAAACTACAGATTGTATTTTCTGAAAAGTTATTTTTAATACGAGATCTGAAATCGTATCAATGAACTTTTTATACTCTCTTACATTAAAATCTGTTGGTGTGTGTTGTACTTTGAATGGATATTTTTTCCATATGTGACAGTATGGATTGGTCATTTGTTAAATGTTGGTTCCCTGAATTATGCAGATCTTCCAAAATTGACACACTTCATTGTATGCTATCAATAATCACATTTAAAAATATTCCTACTTACATCAGAAAAGTCTTTAAGTGTTGGGAAAGTGGCAGGCTCACGGAGGTGGAAACAAGTTTTCCAAAATTCTAGTTTGCACTTGAAAGCTTGAATTTTATCATTGACAATATATACTTTCAGGTTTTTTACTTGAAGTGGCAGGCTCACTTTGGTTTGTTTATTTTTCAAAAATGGTCTGGCAGATACCTAACTCAGAATAACACTAGTTTGCCCATCATTCTTTGAAGTAAAATTGTAGTCTATGAAACAGGCAGCTAGTTTAGCTTGCAACTCAAACAATTGCACAAATGCTTCTCCTTGAGCAGCTCGTTCTTCATATGTGCCTTGTGTGCACTTTGTTTTATCACAAAAATGGTAGGATTGTACTCAATATTTGAAAGCTTAAAAATTTTTAATTTTTATTCATCGAGGACATTCTTAAGTGAAAGTGTTTTGTTTTTTTTTAATGATGCATGGTGGTGAAGAATACAGTGACTCTTAGTACAGTTTAGTGCTGCTACCCTGATTCATGTTTATAAGGAACCAGCAATGTTACCCACCATTGCTTCTGCATCACCAGTATAGATCGTATTGTTATGAAAATAGTTTTGATCTCAAGACCCCCTGAAAGGATGTCAGGAACCCCTAGAGCTCCATAGACCATATTTTGGGAACAGGTGAGCTTGGCAAGCAGCACCCTGGTCCCCTCCTTTTCTTTTGAAGCCCACCCCTTCCAGAGCTGGTATCCCCCCATCCCTGCACTTACCATTTGTCCATATTGAATTTCAGTCTAATAGACTATATATTGTTTCCCTCAACTCTTGCTTTTAACTGTTGCTTGTTTCTGTGCCTGGAATATTCTTGCCCTGTTACTTTTTCTTAAAATCTTGTTTTTCCTTCAAGTACTAGCTTAACATTTTTTTCTTCCATGATTTCTGTTCTCAGATGAAAGTGATCTTTACCTCTCTAAACTCTCCATAACTCTGCATTCACATCTCACTTATGGCACATATTTATTTTAGAGTTTTTTGGGGGAGGTGGTGTGGGGCAAGGAGTTTTCCACTTATAACAGAAGACTTGCTACCAGTAACTGTGTCTTGTTCATGCATAATATTTTACCATGCTTGAACATATTATTCTGCAAATTATCACAGAATGGGTGAAATAATTTATTCAGCAAATATTTGGCTACTACTGTACACCAAGCATCATTTAGAATACTGTGACTATAGCTGTGAGCAAGGCTGACATTGTTCCTGCTCTCATGGGGCTTACTTTCTGTTACAAACTCATTCCACTCCTGTAAAGGTTAAGATGACAGAGTGAGTAAATCTAGTGATTTCTGTTGCCTTTGGGTTTTATTAAGGCTAGAGGAACCTTTGAGAAACAGATCATTAAGTCAGAGTAGCCATTATTCATCAGTCCTAACTAACCAGTTCATTCTGTGAGAGAATTGCAAACATTAGGAGAAACTCTAAGGCTGCATAGGACACTTAATTTGTAGTCTTAATTTTTTTTGTATCTAAGTATTATGTGACAAAGCCCATAAATTTATATATCTTTTTTGTCAAGGTTACATCTGGTTATGTTAGTTACTAAATGAAAGAGAGAGGAGCCTTGAAGATAGGATGTTTAAAGATTCTGTGGCAGTATTTTCTATATACAGCTTCTGTCATTTTTATGCTTATGTGGCTAGTGTGATTCTAGCAAAGATGTACTTAGTGTATATCTGTGTGAGAAGACTTTTTAAATCAGATTATCTACTTTTTAAATGTCAAAATATTAAGGGAGTACAAATGTTTTTGTTACATGGATACCTTGTATAATGCATAAGTTGGGGCTTTTAGTGGGCCCATCACCAGAATAGTGTTCATTTTACCCAACAGGTAAGTTTTAACCCCAACCCCTTCCCACCCTCCCCCCCTTCTTGGTTTCCAATGTCCTTTACATCTCTTTGTGCCCAATTGTGCCCATCATTTAGCTCCCAATTATTAGAGGGTACATGTGGTATTTGCTTTTCCATTCCTAAGATACTTTGCTTAGGATAATGGTCTCCAGTTACATCCATGTTGCTGCAAAAGAAATTATTTCCTTCCTATTTATGGCTGAGCAGTACTCCATGGTATATATCATATTCTCTTTATCCACTTATAAATCAATGGGCACTTAGGTTGGTTCCACATCTTTGCAATTGTGAATTGTGCTGCGCTAAACATTAAAGTGCAGGTGTCTTTTTGATAAAATAACCTCTTTTCCTTTGGTTAGTTATCCAGTAGTGGGAGTGGTAGATGGAATGGTAAGTCAACATTTATTTCTTTGAGGAAATCCCCATACTGTTTTCCATCGAGGTTGTACTAATTTGCAGTCCCACCCACAGTGTGTAAGCATTCCTTTCTCTGTGCTAGCATCTGTTGTTTTTTGACTTTTTAATAATGGCATTCTGACAGGGATATGGTGGTATCTCGTTGTGGTTTTAATTTGCATTTCCCTAATGATTAGTGTTGTTGAGCATTTTTTTCATGTTTATTGGCCATTTGTCTATCTTTTTTTGAAAAACTTCTGTTCATGTCTTTTGCCCACTTTTTAATGGGGTTGTTTGGGGTTTTTTTCTTCCTGATTTGTTTGAATTCTTTGTAGATTCTGGATATTAGCCCTTTATTGGATGTATAGTTTACAAATATTTTCTCCCATTCTGCAGGTTGTCTGTTTACTTTGTTGAATATTTCCTTTGCCATACAGAAGTTTTCTAATTTAATTAAGTCCCATTTATCTATTCTTTTGTTGCTGTATCTGCCTTTGGGTCTTAGTCATAAATTCTTTGCCTAGGCCTATGTCTAGAAGAATTTTTCCTATGTTTTTGTCTAGAATTTTTATGGTTTAATGCCTTACGTTTAAGTCTTTTATCCATCTTGAATTAATTTTTGTATATGGTGGGAGATGGGATCCTGTTTCATCCTTCTGCATGTGACTGTCCAGTTTTCCCAGCATCATTTATTGACTAGATCTTCCTTTTTTGATTATGTTGTTGTCTGCTTTGTTGAAAATCAGTTGGTTGTAGTAGGTAGATGGTTTTATTTCTGGCTTCTGTATTCCAGCAGTCCCCAGCCTTTCTGGCACCAGGGACCTATTCATGGAAGATACTTTATCCATGGGTGGGGGTTGATGGGGAGAGGTGGAGCTCAGGCGGTGATGCAAGCAATGGCAAATGGCTGTAAATACAGAGGAAGCTTTGCTGGTTTGCCTGCCATTCACCTCCTGTTGTGTAGCCTGGTTCCTAAGTTTCATGGAAGACAATTTTTCCATGGATAGTGGGGTGCAGGGGGGCGGAGCTCAGCCGGTGATACACGGCCTGGTTCCTAACAGGCCATGGACTGGTACTGGGCCACAGCCCAGGGATTGGGGACTGCTGCTCTATTCTGTTCCATTGGTCTATGTCTCTACTTCTATATCAGTACCATACTATTTTGGTTACTGTAGCCTTGTAGTATAATTTAAAGTCAGATATCATGATGCCTCCAGATTTGTTCTTCTTGCTTAAGATTGTTTTGGTCATTTGAGCTCTTTTTTGGTTCCAAATAAAGCATATAAATATGTTTTCTAGATCTGTGAAGTATAATGTTGGTATTTTGAGGGGAGTTGTGTTGAATCTGTAAATCGCTTTGGGCAGTATGGACATTTTGACAATGTTGATTCTACCAATCCATGAGCATGGGATGTTTTTCCAATCATTTGTGTCATCTGTGTTTTCTTTCATCAGTGTTTTGTAGTTCTCCTTGTAGAGATCTTTCACCTCCTGGGTTAAGTATATTCCTAGGTATTTTATTTTCTTTGTAGCAATTATAAATGGTTTTGACTCTCAGTTTGACTCCTATTAATTTATAGAAATGCTGCTAATTTGTGTACATTGATTAGAAAGATTTTATTTTAAGTTTTGGGGCTTTTTGTTCTTTCTTTTTTTCTTTTAGGCATTAACAAAGGATCCCCAAGATTACCCAGATAAAAAAAGCCTACCTCATGTGCATGTTGCCCTCTGGATAAATTCTCAAGGAGGCAGAAAGGTGAAAGCTGGAGACACTGTGTCATATGTCATCTGTCAGGTAAACTATCGTAATTCATAAGACTCCAAAACTTCTTAAGAACCCAAAGTAAAATCTAGATTGCCACAGTGTCTTATTTAGTAGTTTTACCAATTGTTGCTGTAAAGAGATGGTTTAGTCTGGTTAGCTTTATAGCATTTAAAAAATATTGGTAGAGGTCTGGCATATTTCATTAGAATTTTCATAAACCATTTAAGGACCTGTGTTTTGGTTTGCTGAAATTAGTGAGACAGGTTTATAACAGTAGCTGGTGTTTTAACCCTAAATTAACTTTAATGAAAATGTGTGTAAAGTTTATTCATATGTTCAGCAATAGTCCTTTATCATTCCTTTTGCAACAGTTTCTGTTATGAATATCAGTGGACTAATTAAGAGAATTAATGCATTTTTCCTAGCCTATGTCCAAATAATTACTTGAAAAAATATAAAATGCATGATTATATGGAGAAAGTTGAAAGATCCTAAAAACATACCTTACAAAGAAAACACACAATGCAACCATTTTCTTTTCTTTTCTTTTCTTTTTTTCCTTGAGTGGAGATGGCCCACCTCCTTGCCTTCTCCTGTTTCACAAGGCACCTCTAAGGAACCTCTAGACCTTCTGGAATATAGTTTGAAACTGTTAACCATTTTCTTTTGAGAATAGCATGCCTCTAAGAGATAGGAGTGGGGAGAGAGGGTAAGAGAGAAGAGCAGGTTTTTTTTTTTTCTTTGAAAGCACTTAACTTCAATTGGAACAAAAGAGAGCTCTCATCCCTTCTCCCTATAAAAAGAAGTCAGGGTCGTAGCCTCTGTCCAAATTTTTAAAATTACTGAGTTGTGGACTATTTACCACAAGACCTAATTTATCTGAATAAGACTTTTTATTGCATTGTGTTATTATAGTAAAAAAATTCTAGATAAATTTTAGATAAAATTTAGATACATTTTAATAAAAATTTATTGCAGTATGATTGATCTTTGTCAAACTACAATCAATGGGGTTTTAAATCATAGAGTCTTTTAAAAATTTAAAAGTAGTCTGCTAATATCTGCTATATACTATAGATGATGTACATAACAAATGATTTAAGTACATGGACAGGAATCAGCACTTGACTCTGTCTCCCTCCTAGGGTTACCCTTGATTAAGAACTGTTACAGAAAGCCAATTCCTGCAGGAAAATATTTCCATAAATGTCTGACTCGCTCAGGCCCTTAATGTGCTTTGCATATTGCCTCTGACAAGTCTCATCTCAAAAAAACAATTTTCATATTATGCAAATAAAGATTTTGGTAAATAGCCTAGTTTTTTTTCACTTACATCTTCATATACATTGGAAAAGCTATTAGATTATTAATGACAAGAGCAGATGTAAGCACAACTTTGAAAAGTTATATAGGTTCAATGAAATAGCATCTAATAATGAAATCAAGCCACAGTTACGTTTTGGCTAAACCTGGAATGGAGATGTGATAACTTATAAAATAGGATAATTGATGTACTTAAAAGCCAACCTTATGTTCCTCGATGTCTAATATTCTTAATATTTCTTTTTCTCAGGTCTTCTTGTGATATATAAATCCTCAAATGCTGATGCTAATGTAGTACAGTATGCCCAATTTGCTGTATTTTTAGCATTATTCCCATCCACTGGTACTTGGCCTTAACTTATTTTTTTTTTAAAAGTACAATACATATTTCTTTTTATTAATGTATTCTCCTTAGTATATCCCAGGAGAGGCTATAGGACTTTAATTTGTCTTTGTCCCTTAGCACTGGAACATGCCCCCTTTTAGCATCTTTGCTAGCCAAAGTTGCCTACCATTTTTGCTTTTAAGCACTCAAATTATTCTTTCTGTGTTTCATAACACAACTGTATTTTGAATATACTTTTGAAGATGTATGATGACACATTTTTAAGAGGACTGTTTGCTGCCCAAGCAAAGGTATCCTCCAAAAATAGCCTATCTCCTAAAAAGATTTTGTTTTGTTTAAAATGTACATTAAGAACATAGTACCTTATTGATAAAAGAGCGTAATGTTTTTGGTACCTAATTTATATTGTAGTTCGTACTCTTGTTAAACTTACCTGAATTATTTGCTCAGTTTTTCAGTCAACTTCCATTTGTTAGCTAAGTTTTAAATCTATAATTATTTAATTTTCATTAGGCATAATTTTCATAAAGCATGCCTTTAACATAATGGTTTTAAGCAGTCCACTTGTCATCAGTTTATAATTTTTTTTCTCATTGGTTTCCTACTAATGGTGATGACATAGTTTTGAATGAATCCGCTACACCTGGTTGTCTTTCTGAAGTATATACTTTGTGAAGTTCATGAATTACTACATGAGCACTTGAAGAAGACCAGTGTTGCTTCCTAATCTGTTCTTAAAGGTGTATGCCACATGTTCTTGTGTATACCACGGGGTCTTGCTCAGGTTTGAGAATTAGATCTTACAAGGATATATCTTAGGTCATAGCCTAAATATTTTTCCAACACACATAGCAAAATCTGTTATCTAACCAATTCTTTTGAATTTAGCTGTGTTCAAGCTTGGATTTTTAAAATACAGTAAGAAATATGTTTGGGTCACTGTTAAAATTAGTCTTTTGTGTGGATATTTAAAATAATAACATTTTAAACTGAAAATATGCTCAGAAATTTTCAACTGCTTTTTTGAAAAACATGCTTTACTATGAGAACTTCTAATGTTATATTGGAAAGTAAATATTTTGCCTCTACAAATTTGATTTTAATTCATTAAAAATTATTAAAGTCTGCATTGCTATAATATTAAGGAAAGGCCAGTTTTTTCAAAATTCTATCAGTTGATCAGATTTTATGTGTTGTTTGTTAAAAGGCAATCTGAAGTGCATGAAGATACTGCTCAAGGATTTCTTTCACACAGTTTTCATTATTGGCTATCACCTTATTCTCATCTAAGAAAGCTTCTGGAAGGGCAACAATTAAACTTGATTAATTCTGCTTAATTCTTTTTATTGTGCTGTGAACACTTGAAAAATAATAATAAGCAAGTCTTTTAATCTGAGATTTGCCTCCTTTTTAGGCATTTCATTATATTTTAGAACCAGTAAAACCTGGTTGATAAACAGGCTCAGTTTGTTTCCATCAGGAGCCTAGCCAGAGAAACAGGCCTCTCCCTCTGGTCTCTGGTAAAGACAGCGGTGTGGAAGGTTGCCTCTGCTTTGGGTTGGGTGCTGAGATGAGAAGGGACTGATTGTAGCAGGAGTGAAAGAATAGGATTCACATTATAATCAGTTCTGCCAAGCAGCTGAGCACTGTGAATAGTTATAATTTACTAGTCTGAATATTAAATTCTGTTGTTTCAGACGAGAGAAAGAGTGGAGTGAGTTGTTGGATGTTGATCCAGTAGTGATGACTTTTTGATTCACACATGATGGTGACATCACCCACAGGGCTGTATGTGGGCAATTATATAGAATTTCACAACTTTTATAGAGTAAAAGAGGAAGCCCTTGAAAAGAGGCTCTCTGACCTACCTTCCTTTCCTTGAGGAGCCGGATAAATGGTGCACAATGACATGCCCTTCATTCCAGTGGCCACATATTTGGCTTTAGAGCCCTGTCACTCTACTGGGACACTGCATTATTTTTGCTCCTACCTATTATATTTTGCATGTAAATTATTGCTTCCTGTGTTTCATTCTCCCATTTTTTCCCCTTGTTCATTTGCTTCTCAATGATATGGTACATATAGCTCTCATAGAAAATATTACCCCCAGATTCTTTAAGATGACTAGAATTCTTGCCTGAAGTGATCACATTAGCATAATAAAAAGACCATACATAGTGCTTTAAATATCACTCCTTTCTGACTAGATATTTACCATGTCGTCTCATTGTGTTTTGTGATATGACGGTGAAATTATTTAATCTAGTCAGTGCTATCTTGTTGGTTTCATGTTTTGACAAAAAAAAAATATATAGAATATGACACATGCTGGGTTTACATTCTTGGATGGTGGATGAGATTGAGATCAAGAAGTTCTTGAGATCTCAAGATGAAAACTTTCTCCTCAGTCTTCCTACTCAAAATGTTCAATAATAGGTCAAAAAGACTTCTTGGTGTTTGGAAGTTACTCCATGAAATTTAAACTGTTGTCACCTGTTTGACCAAGCGAGTGTATGTCATTGAGGTCCTCACAACTTTACCTCTGTCGTCTTCTTACCATGTCTTCTTTTAGGATGGCTCAAACCTCACTGCAAGTCAGAGGGCCTATGCACCTGAGCAGCTGCAGAAACAGGACAGTTTAACCATTGACACCCAGTACTACCTGGCCCAGCAGATCCACCCAGTCGTGGCTCGGATCTGTGAGCCAATAGAAGGAATTGATTCTGTCCTTATTGCAACGTGGTTAGGTAAGTGTCCCAAACTCACATAGGCCCTCACATGGTAACAGCAGTATGTGCTGTCCTCCCTTGACTCTTGGGATCCCTGTTTATGGGCACAATATTGTGTCTGGCACTTCTTTGTTTATAGTTAGGCATTTATTTTTGTATTTGTTTAGTTACTATCTGTCTTCCCTCATAGACTATGAGCTCCACATACTGGCTACCTCTGTAAACATGCCTACCCTACAGTTGGCACTCACTAAAGGCAAAAGAAAGGGTGAGGGGAAGATTTTAAGTACCACTATAGTCACCAAGCTTACATTGTTATAGCTTTAATTGGTGAACTTCCATTGATAAGGAGATTGATGGTTCCTTGTGTATTGCTTCATGTTATCTCTGTCTCTAGAGGTATTTTCATATAAAATGAAAAAACAGCTTTTGAACATAAAAATTTTAATTTTTAATATTTGATTCCCTGTAAGTATCCTACTCTTTAACTTAAATTTTTCTAAAACTGGACTTGCTGTTATCCTCTAGAAATTGACATGGTTCTATGTTATCATCATCCCAGGAGGTGCCAGGTAATTCTGAGACCTTGGTATTGCTTTGACTTTTGCTGCATCACCAGATTTGTCCCATTGCTATGTCATCGTTATCACTGTTATCTTTTGCTTAGAGATGTATTACATAATCAGTACATAAAAGAGTTACATTGCTTTTAAGGTCTCTGCTCTCTATTCTATGGTAAGCAAAGATGAATGCTTTTAGAATACTGCCTAATAAAGTCCTGAGATGGCTCCTCATTATCTATAAGTCAAGTCTAGATGCCACTTGGCATCTCACAGACTCTAAGTTGGCAATTACAGATTAACTTTCTAGCTCTAACCTGTATTTCTAACCTTATTTCTTATTTGATCCACTCAGTGTCTCCTAAATATGATACTGCTCATACTGTTTCTGCCTCATGGAAAATTTTCCCCTCCTTTCACTAAAATGTCTGGCTTTAGCCATGGACTTTGACATCATAGGGATGTGGGTTTGAATTCTGGTTCTTTTGTTCACAACACTCTGAACTTTGGTCTACACCTTGGTTCCTTGAGTCATAGAATAGAGTCGCTCTGAGGGAGAGATAAGATGATATGTGTGAGATGCTCAGCACAAGGCCTAAGGCAGAGAGATTAGTCAGTGAATGGTGTTAGTAGCCACCTCCCACCCTCCTTTTAGGCTTCAGTAGAAATATGTCCATACTCCTGTAGTCCATAGGAATTGCACATAGGTAGTGCTAAATATGAATTTGTGGAATGAGATTGGATTTTCTACAGATCAATTATCAAGTCACATATTTTCCATCCTGCCCTGTTGAGTATGTTTTTGTGCTCCTCCCTGCCACCCCCCATCACTGCTACCCCATCAGTGTCTACTCTGGAAGTGGAAACTCGTTTTTGACATTTGCCTAAGCAAAACATAATTAGGAAGATAAAATTCTGCTACGAAAATAATCATATAATGTATTCTCCAAGTTGAGTTGTGTTTGATGATGTTTATACATCCTCAGCCGGAAGGAGGGGACTATAAATGCAAGATATTTTTTGGCTTCATTTTTTTCTCTCCTATACATTGAGTGTTTACTCTGTTGGATAATGTGTTAAGTACTTTTCATATGTTATCTCATTCAGTTCTTGCAACAACCTCACAGGGGTATGTTGTATTAGCTCCATTTTACAGAGAAAGAAGCCAAGGCTCAGAGAGGGCAACTAACTTGATCTTGTCACATAGCTAGTAAGTGTCCGGCTGTGATTAGATTTTAACCCAGCTCTGTGAGTCCAAAGGTTGTGCTCCTAACCACTGTGCTAAACTTTATTGTTTCTTCTTATCTCTGAGAGGCTTCGAAAAATGTTTTCAAGGAGTGAGAGAGTATGGATGTGCAAGCACAGGGAGCTTTATATTCTTGTTTATTTTACTCCCCTCCCCTCTGTGCACCCCATGTCCCCCACTGAAAACCTCTGAACAAAACCATTTTTTTTTAAAGAGCAGATCTCCTAGTTTTTCCATTTGTGTTGTGAAGAACCTGGTTTAAAGGCAAACTGTTGCCCTTTCCTTCTTTGATTTTCAATTTTCCAGTGGCCCAGCACTGAGAGGGTAGAGGGAACAAGCTCTGTCTCATGAGTGACATTTAAGAGAAAGAAGTGAAGAGTCTTGTATTTTAGCAAGAGCTGAACAATAAAGGGTGACGGAGCCTGCCTGGGTAGATAGGCTTGACGCCTGCCCAGATAGGTCAAGACCAGTCATACTGATAGGGGATTAGACTGATTTTGTTGGTTTCAGAGGTCATATTTAAGACAATTTTTGTTTATAAATTGAACATTGAGCAGATTTTGACTTGCTTAAAGATATTTTACCATAACTGCAGGTTCCTTATGGTCATAGGCTGCCTTATAAATTCAGTTTTCATAAATTATTTTCAAAGCCATTAGTAGAATTGGGTCCCATCTTTAGAGATTTCACGTTCTCATTACTGACTGATCTCAGTCTATAGAGAGAACCCTCCAGACTTGCAAATGGTCCCACCATGTCCCCCTCTCTTTTACCCCATAACCTGAAAACTCTCTGGGCACATTCATGGCTGTACAGACACTATTCTGGGCAGCCCTTCTTGGTGCCATGGCGCCAGTTCAAGCTGATAATAGGGCACTTGGAGATGCTGCTGCTGTTCCCCATTTTTAAACTGCTTTTTCTTATTTTTCTCTTCTGCCACTTGACAGCAGTTTTTATACTGAGGATGTGTGAAGTTGACATCACTGTGTAGTTCCCCACTTCCCCCACTTGTCCCGTTTCTCCAGCCCTACCCATATGCCAGCACCAGCAGTATATACATATCCATCTACATTAGGAACAAATCTTTTAGTCCTTTATCTCTGCCCCTTTCCACATGGGAGGTTCAGCATTAATAAAGTACAGGCTCAGAAGTGCCTGTCACATTGAAGGTCTGTAGAAAATGTTGAAGCTCTCCAGGCAGATCTCTGTAGGCATCTGCTTCTTGCCCTATTCAGGAGCTGATTTTTTTTTTATCTGCACCCTTTATTTTTCCACCCCACATGAAAAATTAGGGTGGCTATTGGCTAGGGGCCTCGAGGTCCCTGTTATTGATTCTCCTTTAGCCTGTGGTTCTAGAGAGGAGAAGGGAGGAGATGGGGAAGTGGTGGCAAAGTAAGGGGAGTGGTTGGGGGTACGTGGTTTCTAAGAGGTGCAAGCTGTAGGCATAAAATTACTGTAATTTGTTTTTAAAATTCTAAATCTGTTTTCTTTATATAAAAAAACTACATTTAGTGAACTGACACTGTTAAATAAGTTGAAGTGTACAAATGTATATATAAAATACAAGCCTTCCAACTGCCTAATCACAGACATAAAATAATTCTCTTGCTTTTAATGTAGTTTTTATCTTTGATTAATGAAATGTATTACGGTGTTGAAACTTTAGTGAAGTTTGATACTTTGTCCTTTTACTTAGTACAAAGAAATCAGGAATAATGGCATAATTTCATTTAGGAAAATTATTAAGTTCATGATTTTTTAATTTTAAGACTCTTTTGTGGAGAGCAGCTATATTTTTCAACTACCTTTTTCTTTTTTTTTATTGCTTTTATACTACTTTCCTTGAAATGAAAGGCAAGCATCAAGTGTTGGTTTTATCCTGTGGCTTCACTTTGGAAATTCTGTATTTCTCCCCGTCAAGATACCTCCTGAAGTCTGTCTGGTGGCATGTTGCATGGCCAGCTGTTCTATATGAGAAGGCCATTTTAGTAAAAAGGAGAGAGGATAGTCTATTAAATGAGTGAATGAATAAGTCTGTTGAATTGAAAGAGAATAATTTGTTCTCTCTAATAACTAATGGTCCTTATTATCCCACAGTAAAATGTGTATCATTTTTCTGAAACTCATGCAAGATTATTGCTATTGGGCTTAAATAAAGCAAAATTTTACTCTTTTCCATCTGTGAATAGGAAAAAATATAGTATTACTCTTCTTATACAATAGCCCTATGGGAAACATGGCCACTAAAACTTGGAACTCTTAGCTTTTATTCTCCAGACTATAGGTTTTTTTCTTGCATGTTCTAATGAAAGCTCTCTATATTCTGTGGATGAAATATTCACAGTGTGCTCAAACATCCCAGCAGTCTTCTGTACCTAGCAAAGTAGGCCAGTGATAAGAATAAACTAAAGTTCTATTCTTGAATTTCATCTAATAAATTTATATTTTATGCATAGTATTATTTAGAATTATCTATTTTTTCCTCCAATGAGCAACAATTTGTACAGTAGCGATAAAGTACCCTTCTTCATGGTCAGTAATGAAATTTTAGGCATTTGCCTATCAACAGTTTTCTCACTGGTTCTGAGAAATTATTTATGTTTGAAGAACGTGAGAATTTAGAATTTAACCTCTGAAAATAGTGCTTAAGACAGAACACACTTAACCCAGTGTGTTCCTAAGTTAAATTGGAAAGTAAAAATTCCCTTTTAAAAAAGTGACCCATACAACTCATGTTATAGAAAGTGGTTTTTGTCAATAGAGTTCAGTAATATCTTCTAAATAACAAATGCAACAGTGGGTCGAGCTGTGTTTCGGGGCACTTTTGACAGATCTGGAGAGATATACCTACAAGAAAGGTGATGGAAGGGAGAAAGTAAAATACAGGTAGTTGGGAGTAGAATGATGCCACCAGCAGGTGCCTTAGACATTACCTTGTCAATAAAAAAATTTGCCTTTTTTTATGATTAAGCTCTTATAAGAATGTACATACATGATCATTTGCAAACCTTAAATATGTTCTGTAACATAGTTAATTGTAAAATTAGATAACATCACACCAAAATGCACAGTAGGATGTTAAGGGAAGTCTTATCAGCTGATAGGAACTGCCTCTTACAGGATGGAGCTCCATTCCCAGCAAATCATCCAGTGGCTCATGCTCCCAGTCTAGTCTGCTTTTGTATTCAGTGAACAAATTAATGCTGGAGATC